GAGGCTGTTCCCAGTTCCCTTTACCTGTTGTCTGTCTCTTTGTAGAATCTCTGCAAGGGGTTGAAGTCTTCGTGAATTCTGACAGAATTCTATAAGTTGGTTCGATTCAGCATCATCTAGGGACAGCCTTGAGAAAAAGGTGGCAAGCTGACCTCTGGTGCTTCCTTCTTGCATTTTCAGTGAGGTTTAGCTTATTGGCCACTAAGAACTCCAGGAACACTAAGAAAATGAAATATTTCAAAGACAAAAATGAGAAACAGCCCGGTTAGAGTCTCTTTATAACTGTCCCATACCGTGCAGTCGCCACAGGCAGAGAGGAGTTGTGAAACAATGCTGAAGCTCCTCCCATCAACATTCTTAATTTTCAGTTCTGTGAGTCAGAGTGATTATCTTTGTCAAAATAAAAAAGGCAAGGGCAGAGAGGGAAGTGGATGGGAAGAAATTACTTAGTGAGTACAATGTATATTATTTGGGGGATAGACACAGTAAAAACCCTGACTTTACCGTATTTAGAATATACGTATTAAATCGTGTTTCTGAAGACTCCACATTCTGAGTTTCAAAGCATGTCTAATCCCACAGGCCTAGGAAAGGTGTTCTCCACTGGTTTTGAGGAGAAAGTAACTTTGAAACTCAAATTTCCATCAAGAGAAAATGACATTTAGACCTCAGTACCGTTGTGAGACAAAGACCTACAGGAACACATTGGAAGTAATATCCAACAAGAAAACAAATCAATAAGATCAACACCCACTACAGACCAAAAGGTAAGTAAGTGGAAAAAACCAACTGGATTATGTGTGCCTGTGTTTTAGAAAGAACACTCTGATTGAAGAGAAGAGAAACACAGAGTATACTGATACGGTGGAAGGAGGGGGGAAGAAAAAAAGTTATGACAAGGTTCTCATTAATTTCTTAGAGGGTGAAGTAGAGTTTCAGCAGATTATAGAAGCGTCATAAATTGATGAGACCAGATAGCTAATATCAACGTATATTAAAAGGCCTAACCAGTTAAGGGACAACTTTCATAGAATTTAATTTCAGAAATTGACATACATGTCAGAAAACAATCACTTAAAGGTGAAAATATTTCAAAAATTATGGTGGGACCACACCTATGGAGCATATCACAAGGGTACATCTCAAATCTACTAAGCATAGAATACAAATGTCTTAACACAACAATTAAGTAAGTGAGGTGAAACCCTATATTAACTAATTTGATCTAAGCATTCCAAATTATATATAAAATCAGCACATTGTACCCCATAAACGCATTCATGTGTACATGATCTATGTGTATGTGACTTAACAAAAAAATTATTTTGCAAATAGTAACTGAAGGAAAGCCAGTGTATCAATGTGAGCATAACTCTAAATAGACTTTAAGACAAAGAATAATTGGCTCGGCACCTGTGGCTCAAGTGGCTAAGG